GGAGACTCACCTCGCTCCGAAGACTCATAACCGACATTCTACATCCTTCCGAAAGCTTGAACCGACGCACAATGCACCAAAACTAGCCAATTGACGACAAACTAATGAGAACATACTCAAATACTTGTTAACAATTCAAATTATACAAATTCCCAACTCCTCTTAGTGAAATGACCAAAATGCCCTCGGGCCCACATGCCCGGATTCCGAAATTTCTCGAAGATATACGAAACCCATAACTTCACTAGCTCAAATATATAATTTACTCCTAATTCCATGCTCAAATTCGTGGTGAAAATCCAATTTATCAAGTTTTCTAGGTTTTCTTTCAAAACCACAATTTTCCCACAATTTTTCATGTTTAATTCCATGGTATAATCTTGTATTAACTTGGAAATGAGTAGGAGTAACTTACCTTAACGTTGATGAGGAAAATCCCCTCTTGAAGCTCTCCAAAATCGCCCACACCAAGTGGAAAATGGGAGAGAAATGACCATCTCCCGATTTAAAAGATCACACGGCCAGCGATTTCCGCTTCTGCGGAATTATTTCCGCCTATGCGGCTCCGCTTTTGCGGTCAAAAATGCCGCTTCTGCGGTCCTGGGCTCCAGCCCAATTTCCACTTCTGCGGACGGCCCACCGCATATGCGGTTCCGTTTTTGCGGATCTTGCGCCGCTTCTGTGGTCCTGGGCTGCTCCACCTCCAGCCGCTTGTGCGGCTTCTTCTTCGCTTCTGCGGGGCCGCTTTTGCGGTCCCAAATCCGCAGAAGCAGCAGCCCCAGCCCCTTCTTCAACTCCGGACTCGATCCGTTAACCATCCGGAATCCACCCGAGGCCCCCGGGACCTCAACCAAAACTACCAACCAATCCCAAAACACATTACGGACTTGCTCGAGGCCACAAATCATATCGAACAACGCTAAAACCATGAATTACACCCCGATTCAAGCTTTATGAACTTTGAACTTTCCAACTTCTACTTCCGATTTTTAAACCTATCAAATCATGCCCGATTGACCTCAAATTTTGAACACAAGTCATATTTGACATTACGGACCTACTCCAACTTTCTTAATCGGATTTCGACCCCGATATCAAAAAGTCCACTTCCGGTCAAACTTCTCAAAAACCTCCAAATTCCTATCTTTAGCCAAATGGCTCCGAAATGACCTACGGACCTCCGAATTCACTTCCGATCGCGCCCCAAACTCCAGAATCACCATACGGAGCTATTCACAGCCTCAATCCCAAACGGACATCGATAACACTGAAATGCTCTTCAAGCCAAACTATGAAATTTCTTCTAAAATGCTAACTTCCACAATAGGCGCCAAAATGCTCCCGGGTTATCCAAAACCCGAACCGGGTATACGCCCAAGTTCGAAATCATCATACGAACCTGCTGGAACCTTCAGATCCCGATTCCGAGGTCGTTTACTCAAAATTCCAATCCTAGTTCATTCTTTCAACTTTAAGCTTCCAAAATAAGAATTCTCCTTCTAAATTAACTCTGGACTTCCCGAAATTCAATTTCGACCACACGTACAAGTAACAATACCTGAAATGAAGCTGCTCATGGCCTCATACTGCTGAATGGCGCGCTAGGGCTCAAAACGACCGGTCGGGTCGTTACAAGAATGAGGCTTTCGATTAGCTTGGCTTTCTCCAACACTCTCCATTGAGTGATGTTAGCTGAACTTCTTGGGTCCACCAAAACACGTTTAATTTTAAAATCTAGAACGTTAAGAGAAATTACTAGCGCATCGTTGTGAGGCAGTAGAAGTCCATCGACATCCTCTTCTATGAAGGTGATGTCGTCCTCGGCGACTTCCCAAAGTCTCTTGCTACGAGTTATGGATTCTTTTGTCTTTTTTGCTACCGAGAAGGTTACACCGTTGATCTCGTTCCCCCGAAAATTATGTTGATGGTTAGCTGGGAGGGTTTTCACCCATCTTCAAGGGCTCTGCGTTGTCCTGGCTGCGGCCATTATTATTTTTATCCCGGTAGCTTAAGAACTCTCTAAGATGGTCGTTTTTCAACAACGTTGCCACCTCTTCCTACAGATGTCGGTAGTCCCCAGTGCAGTGGCCATTAATCCCAAGATACTCGCACTATAGATTAGGATCCTTTTGGCTGGGATCAGATCTCATCGGCCTCGAAAATCGTGCTTCCTTGATTTTCCTCATCGTCGATACTGGATCCACTATGCTGACATTGAAATTGTACTCGGACAGCCTGGGATAGCTGGAATCCCGAGAACCTGATACCTTTTTATCTTGCAATGACCTGTTATTCCGGTCGCGGTCAGTTCTTCTATCGGGAGCAAACCTATCCGCTGACCAAAACCCTTTGCCGCTTCTTTCAGCCCTTTTGTAAGGCAAAAACCGACCCTTAGAAGATCGTTGATCTGTGTCAAAATCATCCTTCGATTTATACCTGTTCTTTTCTCGATCCCGACCCTTATTGATGTCGGGAACCCGAGCTGATCATCTTCTATTCTTATCTTTGATTCGTAATGGTTATTGACATCCACCCATGTCGTTGCTTGGAACTCGAGCAAGCTTTCTTTCAGTTTTCGAGAGGCGTCAGATCTCCTAGGGTTCAACCCTTTAGTAAATGCCTCAGCTGCCCATTCATCTGGCACGACCGATAGCAGCATCCTTTCTTTTTGAAACCTGGTCACGAACTCACGTAGCAACTCGAATTCTCCTTGTGAAATTCTAGATATGTCCGCCTTCCGTGCCTGGACCTTCCTAGCCTCGGCATGGGTCTTGATAAAAGAGTCTGTAAGCATCTCAAAGGAATTTTTTGATGTTAGGGTAAGAGCGAGTACAATGTTAGGGCCCCCTTCGTGAGGGTTTCTCCGAACTTTTTCAGCTGGACCGACTCAATCTCATGTGGATCCAAGTCATTTCTTTCACTGCCATTATATAGGTGGTGATGTGCTCTTGAGATTCTGAAGCCCCATCATATTTTGGTACATCCAGCTTTTGAACCGCTTCGGAATTAACTCTGGTGCTGCGCTCTATTTGAACGGCAATTGGGTGTATTTCTTTGAGTCCGGGCCCTTCAGCACAAGTGGTGCGCCCGAAATTTGGTCCACCCGAGCGTTCATTTCTCTCATAAATCGCATGAGCTCGATTTTGCAGGGATCATTACTATTGTTGTTACCAGATTCGCTGCCGATCCCCCCGGACCCGTCGAAGCCGACCTCACCCCTCGGGGTGTTCTTATCAACCCTTTGCGGCTGTTTGATTTGCGGGAGCAGCGGAGGAACTGAGCCTCTTCCATTCGCGTTGTTGGAAGCACCAGACAACGCTTGCCTTAGTTTTGTCATGGTATGGTCTTGCCGTGAAAGATGGCCCATGATGGAATTTTGCTATTCTCTCAGGATCCTCACGTTTTCGAAACGTGCTCGTCTTCAGCATCATCAGGAGTCGCCTCCCGTACATGTCGGGGATATCGTCTGCCATGAACCGGCACTGGTATGCCCTCCTAGTTGCGGGTGTCGTTGATTAAATCCTCGTGTTGAGGCAGATTCTCTTGTGCCTCAACGTTGTGTGCGATGTTGACATCGTTGGCTGCCATCTTTTACGATTTTTGCTAAAGAAATAATGAATCAAACATATTAGTAATAGATGTAAGGAGCAACTCAATTACGCAACTATCTAAGCCTCACGATGGGCGTCAAACTGTTTACCTGTAAAACGGTACAGTTCAATTTATAGACAAGCGTATCGATTTGATCCTAAAATAATAAATATATTAAATAAAATGCGAGACTTAGCATTGAAATCGAGATGAAATAGCAGACAACTTAGTTCCGGGAGTGGGGCTTCCAAAGGCAGCAATAAGAATAATGTTAAACAAAAAATAAAGTATTATTCAACTTGGAATAGTGTGTAGCATAAGTTTGTCCGAACTTTCCTGTCCTACAATGGTTGTTGAAACCACTTTTTATAGCTATAATAGGGAAAAAGGTCCTAGGATCAAGCCCCTCTTAAATAACAATATTGAGGGTCATTGATGAATATGTAACGGCATGCCATGAATGCCAAAATTCTCTACAACGGCTGTGTTATTTAATACTAAGGAATATTCTCATTAAATGCCTTCTGGTGACAAACATCCATTTGCTTCCGTTGACATTGTTATTTCGGGATCTTCCCGGTGCCAACTGAAGCTATTGTCCTCGGGCCTGGTTTCTATTCGCTTCATCTTCCATCCTTCTCTGGTTCCACGTGTCATGCTACCATACGATCATTTAATATAAACCAACTTTCCCCTATTCAATAATCTATACAAATCAGATTAAAAAAGTAAATAACGATTCCACCCGGTTATTTTTGTAGAGATTTTGACGCCATTTTATCTTTTATCTTTTTCTTTTTTTGGTTATTTGCGACACAAGGTAAGAAGAGGTAAGAAGTATTTACATTCTTTGTACACAACACCAACTAGTAAAAAACTTATTCCTACTTAGTATTTACACGAACTCAATAAATAGATAAGGCATACATCCACATACACTTTTATCACTAAATTTTAGTTCATCGATGCACGTTCTGACGTTAATTTATTATCCAATTATAATAAATTAGTATGATTTGATGTAAATACAGAGTGGCTATAAATTTTTACCACGCCAACAAGTGTAAATTAAGGTCTTTAGCACAAGTAGAGAATATCAACACAGAAGTTGGACATGAAACTGTGAGAATTGAACCTTTGAGGTTTCAGCATCTCCGCATTAATTTGACTACTCGTAGGTTGAAAGCAATTTGATATTAAATCTCATACTAAGTAGTGCTGTTTGATTGCAAATTCAATTAATTTTTTGCATCATTGCATTTTGTCTACGAAATAAAGGACTCATGAGATGATGAGCTTCGCACAAATCTGAAGTTAATGACAAATTATAAAGCCACACCCATAATGTCTCACCAACTTTTGGAAATTCTTGGAGATCGCTGGGAACAGCTTGAAAAGCGAGATCAGTATATCATTGTTTTTGACAGTATATATAACGGTCCTAGAATAGAATCATAGAAAATGATGAAGATACTATTCCGGAATACGAAAATGGCTCTCTTATTTATTAGATATATAAGCTGCTCATAAGTTTGCATTAACATAAGCATTCAAATAACATCCAATTGATCTTATGTAACCCAAGCATTTCTTCCAGCACATCTCAAGTGGATTCTTTCTAAAGCATTCTCATGTTAGGCTTTCTAATTGTCATCCTCGAGTGCTTTAAGTGGTTGCAGCTGTTCCTCAAGTAGATGCTGGAGTTTTCCATCCGAGTGGCACGGGACCAACATCATATATGACTTCTCTGTGGCAAGACCATACAAGTTTTATAGCTTCTGGAGTACCTATTCCTGCTCCTCTTGGATCCCCAGCTGGACCGAACCTACAGTTGGGGCATAGCTTAGCACAGTTAATCAACTACAAATTTACAATTAAGAAAAAAAGATAAAGAAGAAGAAGTTGCTGACCAGTGATTCTGTGGAGCCCCTGTTGTTCTTGCTCTCAATCCAGCATAAGTAGTTCCATTAACTGAATTTCCAATTACTTCCTGAAAAACAAATCAACAATTTTACATGGTTCATTTGTGATCCAGTACCCAGTACGCTGAAATAACCACATTATCGTGTCCATAGGTATAGCTAAGAAGATTTTCAATTCTCAAATCTTCTTTTTCTCTTGGTTTTTCTTCTTTCTTTTTCATTACAGAAATGTCAGCCATCTTAACAACAAAGCATAGCTAAGTTTCTCAGTCTATACAGCAACCCCATATGCTATGATGCATGAAGTTAATGCCAAATTATAAGCTCCCAATGATGCCAACAATTCAGTAAGCTACTGTAATATATAAAGGGCTAAGCTCCGATATCCATAAATCCAAACTTCAGTAGGTCAACGTGCCTTGATGTAAATATGGGACCTAAAATAAACATGCCAGCAAATTAGACAGAATTGATTGAGGTCATTCAGCCCGACTGGTATGACCTTATAGCAATATAGTCCAATTTTCTCCAGTACTGCCCTGAACCTATGTAGGACTAATTGAATGTCTCCTTATATTCCTGAACTTCAAGGTATATTGATTTGAGATGAGTAGAATTTCATCCCCCCCCCCCCCCCCC